CACAGCCAGCAGAAGTACCAAGCAAAATGGCTCAGTGAAGCAGGGAGAAGAGGCAGGGCAAAGCATGTCAGGGATAGTACTTACACTAAACCCCTTTATCTCATGCTGGAAGAAACTCTCTCAGATTATTCACCAGTGTCCATCAGCCCACTTCACTCTCTATGCTAACTTACCTGAACAACTCAGCTGGCAACCGGGCCCACAAGCTTCCAGGCTTTCTCTCTGGTTGATGAATGCTTGTGGTGGTATCACCAACTTCAGCACAGATTTCTCTTAGATGCGGTTTGTTGCAGCTGGTTCTGGAGCTGAATACATAAGAACCTCAGCATTCCACTCAAAAAGACACACTGAAATTGGGGAGAAGGCTTTGCAAAAGGACCAGAGAGAAAACAGTAGGCTTGGAGAAGATACTGACAAACAGAACATCATAGTTTAACTTTGGTCTAAGCACAGACCGAAGCTCTTGGCACACCTCCACTACAACACTGAGGGTGTCAGGCCAGAGGTGATTGCCTGGAGCCAGCTCCCAGTGCTGGGGTTGGTGTCACCCCTTCACCAATCCCTCACGGAGACAGGCAGCTCCTGGGGGTGCTCCGAGGTGCAGCCCAGCGCAGCTCTGGGCTACAGGCTGAGCTCTCAGCACAGCCCCTCGCAGAGCTGCAGCACCCACTGCCGCACACAGCTCTCACCTCTCCAGATGAACTCAGCATCCTGTTTAGCACCTCATCTTGGGCACGGCCGATCGGTTTCTCACAGAGGAAATGAGCTCTCCCTGTTCGGCGTGACACGCACATAAATACGCATACACATACGCACACGTGCGTGCATGCACACACGCAGACAGCAGTCCTTCAAAGCCCTCTGGGTGTCTTCTTTCAGGCTTCTACCGTGTGGCTTAAGGAAGCGAGGAAATGTAAAAAGCAGTCAAAACGTTAGGGGGAAACCCAGATAGAAATGCCTTTTCCACAGCAAAGGGGGAGCAGCTCCCAGGATGACTGGCCCAGCCCCGCCAGCTCACTTTGTCCTTGCTTCCTCCTCCTCTGTGGCTTCTTAGGGCTTTCCATGCCACAAGAGCCAGCCAGGCACTTGCCTGAATGAGACCCACTGCTGCCAAGGACAGTTTCTCCCATAAATTCAGACTTTTAGCAGCGCTTACTACAGCTATTGAATTCACTTATTGTAATATCACGCCTCCCATTAAGATTTCAATCAGTGCTTCAACTGGAAAGCCTTACTCTCCAAGAGTTATAAACCTGCCTCTATAAAGTTGATTATTTAGCATCAATTACCCTTTAGTTATTATTTAGCATCAATTAGCATCCAGCTTCTTGGCTCCCAGCTGCGTTTCCTTCTTGCTTACCTGATCTCTGTTTGCAAAAGCTGATGTAAATTGGTTTGGCAAGTCTGTTTAATTCCAGGGATAAACAATTCCTGACTTAAGAGGCATGTGCGGAAAGTGATGGAGTGAAATTATCCAAAGTTACCTCACTACTACATTAAAAAATTAAACCTACTCCAGATATCTTTTTTCTCCCTCTTAAATATTAATATTTTTTTACCTAGGAATGCTATTAAAAAATTTCACCATTCCCACTGGCTTAAAACCTTGAATATTTTTTGGAATGGTGCACAGCGCTGGAGGGGAAGGCAGTCTCAGGAGGTTAAAACCTTTCAGAATACATCCCAGCACCTCAGTGCCAACAACCGGTACCACTGCAATGACCTGGGCAGCATGTGTTGGCATGATTTATGTAGCAGCCTGAAAAGAATCTGTGGTGTTTGTTTATTACCGCAGCATGACTGATGGGCTCCTAAGTGCACGGGGACACAATCAGCTGAGCTGTGACGGCTGCGGGGTTGATAAGCTGGGAGTTACAGCCATTACAGCACGTCAGTCCACTCAACTGCAGAAGTCCTCAGGGTAGTCGTGACCTGGGGGAAACCACAGTGAGACAAAACCCACTGCTGACAGGGTCACTGTTGGACCATCTCTCCTGCACGGTCACACTGCCACCCACCTTGGACTTGGCAGCGCTGGGGTAAAGGTGGGACCTGATGGTCTTAAAGGCCTTTTCCAACCTGGTGGATTCTGTGATTCTCTGGCCCTCCTTGGTAAAGAATACACACCATTCAACCCAAAGAGCAATTCCTTGTTCTGTTCTCATCCTCGCCTCTTCCAAATGTTAAAAGATGGCTACCAGCATGACTCAAACCACAGAGCAGGAAAGGCTACTCAAGCATTGTCTTCCAACAGTCAGCAGCTTTGTGACAGGCAAATGAGTAGACAGAGGCACCAGGTACCCCAGAAACACATCCTTCACTGGGAGCCCCTGGAACAACCTCAGCCCCTTCCTGGAAAAAAGACTCCAGGCTTATACAATCATAGAATCTCAGCCTGGTTTGGGTTGGAAAGGACCTTAAAGCTCATCCAGCTCCAACACCTGCCACGGGCAGGGACACCTCACACTAGAGCAGCTTGCTCCAAGCCCCTGTGTCCAACCTGTACTTGAGCACTGCCAGGGATGGGGCAGCCACAGCTTCTCTGGGCACCCTGTGCCAGCGCCTCAGCACCCTCACAGGGAAGAGCTTCTGCCTTAGATCTAACCTGAACTTGCCCTGTTTCAGTCTGAACCCATCACCCCTTGATGAAGAGCCCCTCTCTAGCATGCCTCCAGCATTATGTTTATGTACAACATGTAAATAAACACCTAAATCCAGTGAAGGCTTAGACATAACAACACAAACAAGAAAGCAATCGAGTATGAAAGAAATTGTATTTATCTTTTATTTTTTTCTTACAAAAATAAACATTTTGAGAAACAAAAGCACCTTTTTTTTTCCCCTCCTGACTGTACAATCTACAAAACAGTATGACATTGGTCACTTCAGCATTTATTGCTTTCACTGAAAGCAAATTCTCTAGACACACCATGCCTGTAAAACGCATTTATATAGAGTTAAGGCTAGCATTCATTCGGCATTATTAAGGTCATTTTCCTTCCTTCATTCTAAGAATTAGCAAGCGGTGCCTTAGAAAACCAAGGATTTGATGATAAAAAAGTATGAGTAACTGCAAGGTAGTCATTCAGCCAGTCCTGTTCCACCAGCTGGACTGCTCTGCCCAAGATGTGGCTTCCTGAACAACTCAAACTCCCTTCAACAAAAGTCTTAAGCACAGGCTTAATTGTAAGCATATGCTTTGGGCTATCCCTATTCAGTAAAGCACTGGGGTAAGCCCCTACCTTTTCAGTGGGACTATTCATATGCTGATGTGATTTGCTAGACCCACAAAACGACTCTTTTAAATCAGAAATGAAACTTTATGATAACATTGGAAGCAAAGATGAAAATTAGCTACAGTCTTGCAACTCTAAACAGAACCAATTCCTTCCTTTTGACCAAGAGGCAGGCACTGCATATCTGATGGCTGTTAACACAAATGCTGATTGTCTTCAGTAACCTTTGCTGTTCAGCTTATAAACTGATACGTTTCAGTTACTCCATTGTGATTTTATGTGCCCAAGTAAGCATCAGCGTGGAGGATACAGACTTCCCATAGAAATGAACAACTCTGGTCCCTGTACACACACGTACAGGTCAGAAACGTCACACTGCCCTTGGTCAGAAAAGGCAGAGCTGCCAGCCGATTCAGAACCCAAACGATTCCCTAACAGTGTATCATATTTTGTATTCTGCTTTGTTTAAAAAAAATAGAAATAAAAATAAAAATCACATTTTCAAAACGTTGTTCTATTGCACATTCATCCTGGTCATGCAGGTTATTTCTTTAAAGTTCTCTTTAGCACTCTATAGATTAGAATGAGTAATAGTGCAATTATTCCTCTGGCCACAGCCACCTTCTACCTAACAGCTGCCTATATTTATACACAAACAGCTCTTATCACTCACAGGGCAGACGGAGCCACTTTAGGTGTAGTCTGTCACCTTCACATACGTTATCTTGTCAGGATCAGGCATGATATGGTTTGAGGCCATCTTGAAGAAGACAAGCTGCCGACCTGCACCCGGTAGGAAAGGGGGAGAAAGGAAAAGAAGTAATTTAGAAGGGATGAGCAAAATGCTGCCTACCCTAAAATACTGCAATTTCACATTCTTCTTCAACCTATGCATTCCTCAGGCAGCCCAAGACTGAACTGTCCCTCAACTTCCAATGGTATAAACCTGAAATGCTTTCATCTAAAAGGACACCAGATCTCCCCTGGTTTCACTACATTTATTATGATCAACACATGGCTGCACGCAGCTAACAGTAAATGAAGATTTTAACACACATGTCACACGATCTTAAAACATTATTTAAAGACTATCCCACTGACAAAACCAGGCTTGAGTTCAGGCTTTAGGAAGGATTCCATTTCATTGTACAGGAGCAGAACCACCTCTGCGTACTTGAATCCTTGCAAAACTGGTCAGTGCAACGCATGCTGAACACAACTTGCTCCAAGTACTGATCGCTTTGTAACTCTGGGTTTTAAACCAGCTAGAACAAGGTTTCTGCTCCTGGAACGCAAACACCAACAAGTAGTAACAGCCTGGATGGTGTAAGGTACCTCCCATATACACACCAGCGGCCAGTGGGGGCTGAATGCAGTGAGGTTTCGCCCTCCAGTATGTGTGGGAAGCATAGCACAGTTCTTGTACCTTGTATCAGAGATAACTTTCCAGGTCAGTTCAACCTCTGCCTTTCCTCTCTCTAACTGCGGGAAAATCAAACGCCCTCTCTAGAGGGCTCCCATAACACTGCTTTCTTCAGATGCTTCACACTGCTTTTGCATCAGATGGGATGCCTTACCTGAGCAAATTCCCATGCTGCGTTCCAGAGGCCCAAGCACTCATGCATCAGGAGCAGCACGGTAAAGGGAACGGTAAGCAAGACCAAGACTGCCATGTCTCATTTGCTCTTGATATTGTAACCTGAGGCAGGAGCTGCTCTAAACTTCCTACGGATTTCCCTGTGCCATAATAATAATTTTTTCAGTATATTAATTAACTTCAGTAGTCTGGCTACAGACAGTCTGACATGATGGTCTAGTAGCCACCGGTTAGCCACAGGTAGGTTAGTCTTTTTTAGGTTCCATGGAAGTCTCTGGTCACACCTCCCAGAATCACACACTAATGCAGAAAGCCATAGCAGCACCTAAACTAAACCACTCTGAAACGTACGAACTGTCTGAAGTTTCTACTTGTTTGTGGTGCTTTCAGAGCTGGGGACCTACCAGGCACATGTATAAGCCTGCCTGTGATGTGTATTTATGCTGCTTAGCTAAGCACAACTAAGGCACCCAACTGCACACAGGGCAGAGTTTGACATTAAGGTTAAGACATGCAGTGATTGCAGATGTACAGACAGAAAGCCAAGCCTAAACAACTTGCTACACTACAGTCTGCGGCAGAGCAAGGACTTCAATCATCCTTCCCAAGGCATCAGCCACCCTTCCTCCCAAAGCCAGGAGCAGGGGAGCTGACCTGGCCCTAGCAGAAAACAGCAGGGAAACAGCCCTGTGCTGTGGAGGCAACATTCCTCTTTTCAGCAAGTGTGTTCTGTTAGACAAGAAAATGAGCTGTGGTAGCAAATGGCATTTTCCTCTGGAAGCTCTGTTTCTACCTGGCTTAAAACCCTCCCTTCCCACTGTCCTTTAGCCAAAGCCCTACTGCGAGAAGCACGGCATTCCCACCGGAGGCAGGGAATCTCTGACACCAGCCAGGAAGCCCCAGCTAGATGCACAGGAGAACCTGTTTGGTGTTTTGTCAAACTGCACCAGCCACATGAATTGGAAAGGTTAATTTAAACCCAGGTGTTGGTCCATGTCCTGCACGTCTAACTGCGCAAACAGGCCACAGGCTTTTGGTGGTGCTTCTGATGCTGTGTTTTACAATAAAGCCTCAGAGCCCATGGTTTGGAGACCTGTGGCTCATGTGTTGTAGCCCTCTCTGGTGCCAATGCCTCTGAGTCTGTCCACAGGTTCCTCCTCCCATGAGAGCAGGCAAGGAGAATCCCCATCAAAACCAAAACTGCCTCATCTGGAGCATGAGAAACTACCCCACTTCTATCCCAGAACTCCCCCCAGACTGTATTAAAACACTTACAACATCCAGGCTGTGTGACTGAGCTGCTGTTTCTGCTCCACAGCATCCATGACCTACCTGTCCAAGTTGTCTGGTTGGTAAGGACAAAAGCTTTGCACTGGGAGTAGCTATCACAGATCTCAATGGCTTCATTGACGTCGAACACAGAGAGGAGACAGCCCTTATGATGGTACGACGGCCAGCATCTGTAGTTCTCATCGGGAATAACAGCTTCAGGCACCCGTCTGTACTCTGCAAATAACCAGAGCAAAGCAATCGTTTTGAGAGCTCCACCAAACTGCTTGTTTTTAAAAGGCAAAGCTTATTATAACAGCTTAGAAGCAGGCTATGTGATGGAAAAGGTGACGGGCTGGACTTCCAGCCCTGGTTTACTCCCAGATGTGTTTACAGCTCTGCGCCTTACTTTCCTTTTCCTTTCCTCCTTTCTTCTTCTCACCTTTTCCTCCAGAAAGTGTCTGCAAATAAACAGCCTGTGCACAAAACCCTATCCCCTTCCCCACTGTGTAGGCAAGGCTCTGGTTTTATTAGGAGTTTTACAGGAAGAATGTCCCATTGAATAAACAGCATCCACTTGAATGAACCGACTCACTGTCCTACTTCTTCACAGTGAGCAGGATTGTCGGGGTGAGACCTGACCAGGCGTTCCCAGCCCTCCCTCTCCTTCAGAAGAGCGCGCTATTTTCCTCAGGCTCCTTTAGATGGAAGAAAAGACAGGCTTTTAATTAAGCAAACGTTTTTTGCTTGCTCAGATCCACACAAAGGGGCAGTCGCTCGATGGGCCTCCAAAGAGAAGGGGGAGAAAAGCAAGCAGTGGGAGCATGTCAGCATGGTCCTTGCCCCGCGCCTCCGCGCTGCCCTGCCCGTTACTCCTCTCCCTTGGCTGCCGTTCAGTCTCACTTGCCTTTATGAGCTGCGTCTTGTTCTCTGTTTGCAGCTCCTCTCACTTTCCCAGCCGCTGACGGGGTTTCTCTAATGAATGCATCAGCAAATCCAGCTCATCGCTTATAAACATTTCTGTTTATCACCCAGGTGCACAGATTGATGGTTCCCTCTCGTCTCTCCCCTTTCATCCCCCGACCCTATTCAAAAAACTTCAGACTCTTTATTTTTTCTAATTGTATCTATTATGGAAACCAGAGCTGCCCGCCCTGACTCACAGCCTATTCTCAAGTCGCTTCGGTTGAGGCATTCTCTGCCTGATGCTGCAGATTCAGCCCGCTAGCATTTCATACAGCACATTGTACGAACATCACCGTGTCATAGGCAAGCGTGTCTTCTACTCTAAAGTGCCAGTATTTCAAGTGGGAAAAGAAGTACACCTCCAGAAGTGCTCATTCACACCACACAGTCTGAAACAGTGGGAAACAAACGCAGTAAATACATTCTATTTTAAGTTCATTAAAAATATCATGAGGAACATTCCGAAGCAGCAAAATCAGAGCTGCTCATGCCCCACTTAAATCAAAGGCAAGGGAGTTTCCATTAATTCAGAAATGGCAGATTTATGCACATGAAGGGAAAAAAACCCCGCAGTTCCCCATTACTAATGGTCATCTCTCCATCAATGAATGTATGTGCATCCCTTCCCAGGGCACTGCTGGAGTCACCATCCCTGCAAGGGTTCACACACCGTATGGCCCTCAGTGCCATGGGTTAGTGGTGGCTTTGGCAATGCTGAGGAATGGTTGGACTTGATGAGCTTAAAGGACTTTGCCAACCTCATTGATTTTATGATTATTCTGAAGAAAAGCTGGAGCCTAAAACAAACTGTTACTGGCTGGATAGATAAAAGTCCCTTTTTTCCAATTTCCATATCATCTGTACCGTGTAGCAGTAATCGAATGGAACTGAATTATATTCTCTTCTCTCTCTATGGTAACTGCTGAGTATTGATTTGTACCTTGAGCCAACGTCACTAAAATAATGAGCACAAATTACTCATATTGATACATTAATAGTGGCACCATGTGTTTGTATCAGTGTACAAGCCACAGACTGGATGTAAAACAGGACTACCCACAACTTCCCATGGCTGCCGTCGTTCCCCCTAACACTTTACTGTGCCAGACCCCACACCACAGACAATGATCACAGAAGGATGGCCCTTGAACACCAGCAGAAGATGAAGCATCTGCCTGGCTCTCTGCATGAGCAGGGAGCACGTCCTAGCCCTTTCCAAGAATACCCTTGGAGCACGCCAGGCTCTGTGCCAGGGCTGGGAGGGAGCTGCAGCATCCCTCAGCACACCATCAGAGGAGCCTCATGTCATGCCTTTTTCTCCATGCAAGGCAGAACCACATCTAGAAGAGCCTTACTTTGAATCATTATTCAACGTTTAGAATGTCCTGCTCACAGATACACCTCTCAATACACCTGTAGATATGCCTCTCAATACGCTCCTCAGCACCGCTTCCAGTACAGCTGTCAGGGGTTAGGTTCTCACTGACGTAAACAGATCTAAAAAGAGCAGCAGTGATTTATGGGACACAAGGCTCTGTCAGACGCAGGAGTTAAAGTTCTCCCTCTCCATTGACTTTTTCAAGGTAACCGAGCCTGGTAAATCATTTGGGCAGCTTGGGACACGTTAATCGACAGGGTTGGATCAGGAATAACTGCAGTGGTGATAACAAGCTCCTGGCTTGTTGGTGCAAGGGAGGATGGAAACCTCCACGCTGGTGCTTAGGGTGGTCTCACACACAGCAGAGCCCTGTGACTGTCCCTGCCCACTCCCTGCCAGTATCTACATGAGAGAAACCATCACCATCTGCACCATCTGCAATGACTCCTGGGAACAGGGCAGTGTAACAGGCACGCTGCAGCACAACCCACATGCAAAGAACATTTTCCCTGGCTGGGAGATCAGCAAGTGCCACACAGGTGAAAACAAAGCCCCTGGAGCCTAAGTGAGAGCAGAGATTTACACAGGCAGCTCCTGGCAGCACTCCTGAGCAGGCAAAGACCACAGTGTGCCTGCAGTTTGGGGATCTATGCTGCATGCAGGGAGAGGAGTGGGATGCAGGGAGGAGGGAAGGCAGCCCCTCTCCCTGCTTGCATGGCAGCCAGCAGGGGTAGCTGCCTGGGAGTGCCTTCCCCTAGGAGCATCCACATGGGAAGGTGGCTGCAAGGAGCAAAGAATGGAACACACAATGGCCCTGCACCCTAACTCATGCTCCCAAACCTGCCAGACACTCCTGCTGCCCCTGGAAGCCAACACGGGATCTCCTCTTAAACTATCAGGAGAGGCACAAGGATGCTCAGGGGCTGCAGCACCTCCAATATGGAGACAGGCTGAGAACATTGGGGCTGTTCAGCCTGGAGAAGAGAAGCTGCGTGGAGACCTGAGAGCAGCTTCCAGTGTCTGAAGGGTGCTACAAGGATGCTGGAGAGGGACTCTTCATCAGAAACTGCAGTCATAGGACAAGGGGTGATGGGTTCAGACTGAAACAGGGCAAGTTCAGGTTAGATCTAAGGCAGAAGCTCTTCCCTGTGAGGGTGCCGAGGCACTGGCACAGGGTGCCCAGAGAAGCTGTGGCCACCCCATCCCTGGCAGTGCTCAAGGCCAGGTTGGACACAGGGGCTTAGAGCAAGCTGCTCCAATGGAAGGAGTCCCTGCCCATGGCAGGGGTTGGAGCTGGATGAGCTTGAGCCCATTCTATGATTCTATAATAACAGTCAGAACTGAGCAGACACTGACTGCAACACCAACCAAGCACCGGTCTGAGGAAAGTGCATTTCTTTCCACAACTCCCTTTATCTTGAGCAGAGCAAGGAACAGAGCCCCTGGAATCTCTTATTTACACAGCGACAAATTTGGGAGCTGACCTCTTAGCCCTTATTTGTATGAGCTGTGAAGAAATGCACACCTCGCAGACGAACTGTAAGGACACCTGAGGGCTCCTCCAGCAAGAAGTGCCCTGGCAATGACATTAGCCCCAGCCTGCACGAGAATCAGGCTTCCCTTACGCCCCTAAATGATCCTCTTGGTCACTACAGTGCAGTAACTCGTTCAATTAAGCGATACTGCACTGGTTTAAAGGCAGCTCCAGCTCAGGTTTTTGTCCTGCCAAGGCCTGAAACGTTGCTTAAATGGAGTCAATGGAATTTGAAGGCTCACGGCAGTAAATCACATCATAAAAAGGTCAAAGTTCTGCTCGATTTCCAGACTAATGGTGTTTAAAACCAATAAATACTTGCCTAATACTATAAATGCAGCTGTAAATTTACACTTTTGCGTACATACACGTAAGCTGACACAGAGTGCATAAAATCTACCCAGGTAATGGCAAGGAACAGATCAGAGAAATGCCCGACACTCCTCCTGGCATCGCAACAGAAAAAGAATCCTTTTCTCCATCTCCTGCTTTAGTGAGGATTGGAGCAAATAAAAGCAATACAGTTAAGCCTGATCTTGATGCCACAATGGAGCAAATAAAAGCAATACAGTTAAGCCTGATCTTGATGCCACAATGGAGCAAATAAAAGCAATACAGTTAAGCCTGATCTTGATGCCACAACAGATTTACTGCAGAATAACACACAAGAGCCAATTCCCTGCTCACGGTTATACAACTAAACCCTGCTAGGGAACAGTCTCCCTGCCCTGTAAACATCACGAAGCTTTAAAACATCGTGCTGAATCTGGGCAATGCTCAAAAGTTTGGGGTTGGGGTATTTTTCACAGATTTCTAGTATGTTTTACAAGTTTTGCTTTGGGCAATTAAAACACTGTTTTGTCCTGGCCTAAACCTTCCACCGAAAATCACCTGCATTGTCCCAAAGCCGACTACAATCCCTCAACAGACACTCATTTTCACTGTGCTAGACTGAGTCATATAAATAACTCCACAAGTATATAATAAACTATGTGAAACTGCCTGTGGTTTCCCCCTTTTAGCTTGCTTGGATCACCCTAAATCTGACTTTAATCAGGCCTAATGACCGTTTATTTCAGCCACAGCAGCCAGATTGCAGTTTTACTACCAACTACAGCTACTCATTGGAGATTTGCCCAGTTCTTTTTTCTAGTTATCACCTGCCAATACACCATGGGTCAACGACACAGGGGCGGTAACGTTCATCCTTGAGAGAGAAATCACATTGCTCCTTTTCCTCCCTCCTCCTTTCCTCCACTCTCGAGGGGAACACTGGCAGCTGACTCTGGAATTGCTTTTAATTGCTTTGCTTACAAGTAAGTCGAAAGAGCCTGATCTTGCCAATCTCGGCAAGAAGTG